GGAGGCACCATCGGAACTCGAGCTGCCCGATCCAAATTCCACTCTTCATTCCTCGGGGGAATAGCTGCCTATGTGAGATTACTTTCTTACACGTTACACTGTTGAAGGTTTTGTCTTTGACTTACCGTTCTTGGGGCAAACAATCTCTTCAAGTCGGAGGTCATTCTTTTGCCATTTTAAATCTTTGTCCAACGAAAGGTGACGTAAAACTCAATTACTTGAGGTCGAGCAAAAATCCCAGCAGGAAATGCATTCCCCTTGGTATTGGAGGTCGGTATCAAATACCGGCCGCAACGGGAGGAGGTGGAGGCATGTGGGAGAAAGCCGGGATTAATGCTCATGCCGGTCTCGTGAGCTGTCGAGGCTTTTCATTTCGTTTCGTGAGGGAATCCGTCCCAGATTGAGCGAATTGCCCGTAACGCGATGAGTGACCGTGCGTGCCGAAACATCTTAATTCAGGTTCATTTCTTCCAGTCGAGACGAGAACAAAGGGAAGTGTTTCATGAGCCATTTGTCTAATGCGTATCCTCCGTCGAAGTCAGAATTATCTCATCAATCACATGTTATTTATAAAAAAAAATCGGCATTGGCATTTTAAAGATTGAAATTGCTTTGGCTGTCAAGTGTTCCACATAATATTTTCTTTTGCAGCTGTTCGACCCTTTGCCGTCTATAACCACAGTAGAACCTTGACGGATTTCGTGCGATTCTATAAGGCTTGAAACCTAAAATTCAGATCGATCAGTAACCGTTTCAGCAATAAGAGTAAAATTCGTCAAGACCAAAGAAAATGCGTATGTACTACATCGCACTCGCTATGCAATTGCAGTTTCTCAGGTTAAATTACATTAGCTCCTCTTAATTCCTTTCTTCCTAAGAAAAAACATGGATGTGAAGCACGAGGGTTTTAACCCTTTGGTACACCCTGAAATTTCAGCGATGAAGCATACGGATAACCGGGGGAAATTACTTGTAATTCAGACCACCTTTAGCGTCAACTATGTAAACATTATGCTGCCGTGACCTCGCATATGCGTCTGGTTTGCAGCAGGTTTACCTGCCACTAGTTTCATTATAAAAAATCACGATGTGATTCATTTTAGAAATATTACTTAAGATTAATTTCAGATCAATTAATTAATTAAGATTAATTAATAGATATTACTATTAATTTCAAGATATATGCAAGTGAAATGGTTAAAGGGTAAGCCGGTCCTGGAATGGTTTCATGGTTTCACAGAAGGCAGCAAAAGTGTAGCAATAGTGTAGCGAGCACACAAGGAAACGAAACTTGTGATCAAAAGGGACAAGAGGAAGAAAAGCTGCATGCCTTCAAATTCTTACGGCCGCGGCAGAATCGAAGGCAACATCCTACCGACGAGAACCACGAGCAACAGAGGGAGGTCAGGCGGCTCCGCCCTTATCGCAGGCGATGTGGCATCGAATCCCCACGGGGAAGCGGCTGGACCCGATGGAGTAGAGCCGAGCGTCCAAGGTCCTTCCGAGCGTGCTGGGGCTTCTCAGTTGCCATTCGCGTCCGCACGTGCTGAACGAATCCACGGGAGAAGAGGGCAGAATCAAGGACTGGCCGAACTCATCGACCTGAGAGGACTGGATGGCTTGCGTCGAAGAAGATTTTAATCTGTTATCAGCAGCAATTGAAAGGGAAAAAACTTCCGTCCTCGTTGTCTGGGAAAGCCCATGAATACAATGCAATTTAAGTTAGAGAGTAATTTAAGAGGATAATTTAAGCAAGTAATCTTTTTTATTTCGCTTGGGTGAAAAGGAAAAACGATTTCCGACAATGTTTCCACGTCGGCCTAAGGTAACCATGAGGATCGACGAAGAAGAATCGAATTAGTGAAGTTCAATTGCCATATGCAGTTTCTTGGCAGCCTAATTTTGGATTACTCCTAAGGATGGGAAACGTCTGCAAACCACAATGCAACCTTTAGAGCCATCTGTTCCGAAGCAGGACGAGGATCGCATTTTTGTTGCTCTACGCAGACAACTTAGGAGCTCGCGGAATGGCATTTTCGTTTCGCAATGCCATTCCTCGCCAGAAACTTTGGGTTTTCAACTGGACTTCATTTTAACAATTGAATAAAATCTTCAAATTCATAAAAACATCATATAATGAATTCTCATGTCTCCAAAAATAGAAATCGCCCCTAAAAAAATAGAAATCGCCCCCTAAAAAAATAGAAATAGCACCCAAAAAAAAAGAAATAGCCCCCTACAAAAAAAGAAATAGCCCCGTAAATAGCCCCCTAAAATCAATTTGCTCGTCTTGAGGTCGTCCGTGTGAAATCCTTTCATTTCGGCCCAAATATCCCGACACAGAGATCGAAAGAGATATCCTTACTTTATACTGGCTACCAGAGAATCTGACGCCGTAGAAGAGTAGCCTCGTTCGACACGAACGATTACCACACTGATTACCACACCAACGATTACCACACGAACGATTACCAATCACATTGCTGATTATCCTCAAAGGAAAAGAGAATGAGTTGGAATGAATTTTATTCTGGAGTAATCCATTTCATATTTTCCATCGGACGTGTCATCCTTCGATGTATTGTCGTTACTTTCATGGTCCTCGTGATTTAAACATTTTACTCAGTATTTGCATATGTTTAATTCTCTCATCACTGCATTAATTATTCTTATTCTAAATGAAATCGCGACTGCAAATGAATATACCTCACACCATCGACGAGAAAGTCGGCGTTCCTGCATTCCCGATCCTCCGAGAGAGCTATCTCAGGGCACGATACCGTCAAGTTTGTCGGGCACTGGCAAAAATCATGTGAAATGGCAAGATGAAATGGCAAGATGAAATGGCAAGATGAAATGGCAAAATGGCAAGGAACTTGAGTGGAATCGAAACGGTGAATGTGGTACCGAAAAATGATATCTGCAGGAGCGGAAGAACGTGTGTGTGTCCGGTGTTAATATGTCCTTTATATCAAAGGTCTCGCCAAGGAGGAGGGCCTTGCTGGTGATGCAAGGCGCGTCTTCCACGCCGCTGGAGCCTTTTAGAAAGAGCAAAATCTTTTTAAATATCTCCGTGATGAACCAAATGCAATTTCGGGAATATCGACAGGTAGCTTACGGTACTGGTAGGGTTTGCTTACGATTTCTTCTTTTTCGATTATCATCGAGGATAAAAAAAATAGGGAAGAAATGGTCTTCTCTCCGAAGCCCAATTCCATTCGCTATGCCTTGCTTACTATTTTTTTTTAAAGTTCCTTGTATGACTTGTATCCATGCTTTAACCGGTGGAGTGGCAAAGTAACATTCCATTACTCTCTTAAATTCCGATCTTTGGCGATAAATAACCTGGTAGGCAATTGAAATTGGAGGAAGGAATCGGGGAAGGAAACTCACGAGAATCGATGATCGCCCTCGTCGGCTCGCCCTGCACAAGGGAATCGATGGGGGCCGGGTTAAAATTCGTAGCTCGGGGGGGGGGGGGGGGGGGGGGGGGGGGGGTTAGATACAAAGCCAAGAAAAGCGGAGCGAGTATGATGGAACAAGGTGATAATGGAGGACATTATTATTATTGTTATTGTACCTTCTAATGATGGTGGGTGGATCGCACGAAACTGACTTTAGCTTAATGGAACTTTAAACCTCCATTATCGCTGCTAAAGGAGGTTTAAAGCTCCATTAGACTAAAGTCGGTTTCATGCAATCCACCCGGTAACTCTTAAGGTTTGGCAATGTGGCGCAAAAAAAACGCGTCCTGCTTGAAGCTTCATAAAACCCGCTTTGGATCACCTAGGTTCGCGATATTTTTCGTATCGCACTGGAAACACAACAAGATGTGTTTCGAGAAAGTTTCATGAGTCTAGGTCATCTGAATAAAAAGCGACAGTCGTTCGAAGTGGAGTCTAAAATATTGATATATAGACGATCGTGACTGAGTGAGTGACGCTAATTCTAACCATTTTCTAGAGAAGTTAGAAATCTGAAACTTGGTACACACGTACCTTTTGGGATGCAGAGTTCAGGAAAAAAACCGCCTTTGGAGGTACATGCCCTGGGGGCACCCATTTTGGGGGGAGATGTTTTCAATGATATATATTTGCTTCAGTCAAACGGAGAGACATGAAAAGCTGAAACTTGGCATGGACGTGGCACAAATTTCAGGAAAAATGTCAAGTTTCAGATGTATGCCCTGGGGGCATATTTTTTTTTAAAGGTTCTTTTTCCGAAAACTTTTCTGATTCAATGAAAGAGAGAACAAAAGAAAGTTGATACTTGGAGCAGAAGTACCTGTCCGATTGCTGAGTACATGTCCTACTTTTCAAATATGACCCATCAGGGCAGATTATGAAGAGATTTGAAGTTAGGCACACAAGAAACAATGTGGGTAATAATTCCGATGAAAATATCGGTTTGCTCTCTCTCGATACACATTCCGATGGGCGCATACTTTTAATAGGTTTTTGCCACTTTGAAAATAAATGATTGAATGAATCACTATCCTGGTAATGGAGCGGTAATACCTAGTATACCAATCGCTAGTCGTAAAATCTTCCTTTTCCATGCCCTGTGGAAATCGTTTTTCTCCCTTGACTCCAAGGTTCGTTTTTCACGGCATGTCTTCGTAGTAGCATTCTACGCGGTATCGATCCTGAGACTTCGACGCACGACATTAATAGCATTCTACGACGCAGAATCATGACGCAGAATCTGTGCAAAGGCTGACTTAGCTGAGAGGAAGGACTCGACGGCTTACAAAAAATGTGCTTCCGTTCCGAGGCTGACGTTGATCGACATCTGAGGCTTAACCATGCTCTTTACCGAGTAGTACTCATTACTCAGTACTGAGTAATGATGACCATCGAGCCCTAACACGTGATGTCTGGGACGTCTGACCTAATTTTTGGAAGAAACAAACTCGGGAAACAATCGCCATCACCAAAGATGAATTAGCCCAGTTTAATCGACATAGACATTTGTAGATGCAATATGCGTAAAGGAATACGATGGGTTGGAAATTATTCCTTTTTCAGAGTTGGTTGAACCAGTTTTGTCGACCGGTAAAACCGATCAACACTGATACCAATACCATCGACCGGCATATTCTTCATTTGACTTTCCGTTTGTCTCCAAATACAAGTGTTCTCAAGTTACTTTTAACTCCCTTTTCCCCCTAGATATAACGAATATAATTAAGGCTATCGTCTCATATTCGGGAATCTGACAAGAAAAACCTCCGAAGCACGTTATAGAACTAATTTAGTGTCAGGTTTAGTGAAAAGTTTGGCGATGGATAATGGGCTCAAGTTGCACTGTTATGGCCATAGAACATTCGCTTTGATCCGAATGCATCGTTGTCCAATCGTGATGCAGGGTTCATCTACCCGGTGGCATCCCATTGGGTATGGCACCCGGAGGGATGGTTGAAGAGGACGGCATTCAAGGACTACGCCGGGGGAGGCGTGGTGCACATGCTGGGTGGAACGTGCGCTCTCGTCGGTGCTGTCCTCATGGGTCCTCGCATCGGACGGTTCCATGGGAAGACCGGCGAACCACATGACATTCGAGGCCATTCGATCCCTGTCTGTGCATTCTTCTTCCTCCAATTATTATTATTTTTACTATCACTATTCTTCACCTTCTAAAATGTACCGAAGCTCCTTTCTTCAAGGAGTTTTGGGCAGAAGGAGGGAGCTTCAATGTGGAGGGGGGGGGGGGGGGGGGGGGGGGGGGGGGTACCTGACACTAAATTAGTTCTATAACGTGCTTCGGAGGTTTTTCTTGTCAGATTCCCGAATATGAGACGATAGCCTTAATTATATTCGTTATATCTAGGGGGAAAAGGGAGTCCTAAGCTGGGTATAAGGGTTACTGTTAATTTTTTTAACTGCACAAATGATTCAGAGAAATTCAATTTGGAAGGGGCTGGCAGTCGCACCAATAAAATTTAAAAATGTAAATTTTTAGGAGATAGGACGTTAATTTTGTCCAGCCATATTAATTTTGTAGCGATATCCCCAGATGAGCGAAGTGTGACTGGGGTAAATGCCCCCTTTCTATACCCTTCCCTCCCCTCCCCCCCTCAATCCCCTTCCCCGGATGCCAAACCTTCCAGCGAAAGGAAACTGTGAAATGCTTTTGTGCCTACTTAGCTCCTGTAAGTACACTTGTTAAGCGACCCACAAAATGAATCAGACTGTCAGTACGTACTCTGCAGTGTAGCGAACTTTCTCCATCGGACTTGACAATCCCAGCGAGCGTTTCGTGCTTCCATTCCCACGAGCCATGTATGAAGGAGATGGAATTCAAGCCGATGAAGGAGAAACTCGATGCCGCGGAGTTGCATTTGCATCGCAAATTTTTTCCCGGGTAGGGGTCAGTGGGGATGAAGGGCCAATATGGATAGGGGTGCCGACCCCTACCCGAATTGGCCCTTTAGCCCCATCATATCCCCAGAAGCAAACGTTTTGGGCAAGGATAGCATGTATTTCATTTCAAGGATCATCGCGAGACATCCAAAAGAGGCGTTGTTCTGCCCCTTTACCCTTTCATGCTGACGTCACTGAAGCCATTGAACAGATGGCCTTCGTTAAATCGGGACAGATTCCAAAAACTGATCTTCAAGTCTTACAAAATACTTGTATTTTTGTAAGTCCGACGTCAGAACTTTCGGATATGCAGATTTAATCTTGACACCAAGAGCAAAAGTATTTTATATTCCATCTCAAATGCCTCCAAAACGATGCTGCCTCCACGGCATCCATTTCCAAAAGCCCTTTCGTGCCTTATCGCATCGAACCCCCTTAACTGAATTTTCGAGTTCCCATCGAGCCAATGAATATTACTGGACAACATGCTTGCACCTCATGATAATCTTATTGTTGGCACTGGTTCCATGTCACTTCCTCGACGGACACTTCTTCAACTGTACAACTTCTTCAACTTCTTCGACTGGATGTTCCGACGAAAGCTTTTCAAAGAAGCGTCCAGAAGAAGAATTGTCCAGTCGAAGAATTGGCGGAGAAGGGTCCGTCGAAGCAGTCTATTTCGAAGTGGCATGGAACCGTCGACACCATCCACTCCTGCTATAGAATCTCTTGGAGTTTTCGTATTTTTTTATCGTCGGATATACTGCATTTTTGTCGTTTCTGTTTTTTATTCCTTCATGCGTTCTAATTGTTTCTCAAATAAGTCTTGACATTGTTCATCGTCGTATGCAGTTGGCTGCACTGGGCGGATTCATCCTGTTGTTCGGTTTCCTGGCATTCAACGCCGGTTTCCGGGGTCACATCAGCCATCTGGGCGACAGCGAAGTCATCAGCCGAGCCATAGTGAATGCCCTCCTTGGTGCATGTGGAGGCGGGATCGGGGCCCTCGTCATCCACCGCGTTGGCACCTTCGGACCGACGCGTGCCTGGAGCTTCCTCATGACCCTCAACGGTGCCCTCGCTGGTCTTGTATGTCCAACCCAAGCCCCATACGCTCTACACTAAATGGAATAATTTCAGATAATGTTTTTGTTTTTGTGTCAGTCTTAGAACTAACCTTACGATTCTTTGGTTGCATTCGATGGGTTCATTTGGCTAATGTAAATCCTCGATATTAGAGAGATACTTTGAGCCCTTGAATTCTGAATAATTATGCAAAAACCTCCCGAGGATCTCCTCATGAAAATCGCGATGCCATTCATGTGTACCATGTTTCCAGAATTATTTATTTTTATTTTATTTTTTTAGAGTAAGTGAAACAATGATTGCATGAAAGACTTTCGTCACGTTGTCGTTAATTTAGTTCTGAATCCTAATTTTGCGCAAATTTTCCGCACGGGTGAGATGCTTCAAAAATAAAGTTAATTGTTCTTACCTGCTCCGACTTTTTTGGGGCACGATTACATTACAGGTCGGGGTGTGTGCGGGGAGTGACGTCTACCCAACGTGGGCGGCTCTGGTCGTCGGCGTGGGGGCAGGATTCACCTTCCTCTGCCTTCACTTCCTCCTCCTCAGGCTCAAAAGTGAGGCTATTTTCTCATTTTCTTACCGGGAAAATTATAATGGTTTTGTCTGGTGCTGCCATCATACGTTAAGTCCATAAAAATGCGTCTAATGATGTCTGAAAATTATACAATTGTAAATACAGTAAATGAAATAACTTCATGCATGCACTTCCCAAGTAGAACAATGAAAATGACGATGCGATCTTTAACAAATGAAATAAGCATATGACTCCGAATAATTACTTAAATTTCATTTCACGACGCACAACTGCGATGTAATTTATTCAATGACTAAAAAGTAGCGAAAATATATATATAACTTCCCCTCATGACTGCACGAAATAAATGAGTAAAACAATGCAATAAAAGCGACTTCTTCTAATAAGGAATTCCTTATTATTAAGAGTTCCAAAAGACAGTTGGCTCATGCCATTTCCGGAAGCCTGTTGCCCCGAAGAGGCTCGGCATTCATACCAGATAAAGTGCATGCAAGACCTGAGCGAGAAGTCAGCCATGCGGTCGAGGCACATAGTTATGTTACCTTCGATTCCACTAGGTGAACCAGATGGGCCAAAACTATCATTAAAAGATGGATGTTCTCGTTTTAAAATATAGGGGGCGCTTTTTTTATATGATCAAATGCAGATAGTTCGCTCACGCGGTGCAGCTATGATGAATTAATGGCTTATTTATGGCAATTATTGTCGGGTATTTCTACAATATGTGTCTGGATGAGATATCGATTCATACCACGTCTTAGCAAAAAATTGTATTTCAAATGCGAGTCATTATGTCAACGTCAACATTGACATGTAGAGGAGTGTCTAGTCCATGTTGACGCCACACGAACAAAAAGAAAAGTGTAATAGGCGTTCGATTAAAATCCGTGTGACAACAGGTTTGTACAGGAAAAGCCATAGGGAAAATTGGTGAATATTGAATATTGCCTTTAGATGTAAAACCTGGTTTTGACGGTCCATCAGGGTCGAACATGACTTAACTCCTTTATTCAATATCTACAAGACCCAAGCAAGAAAAAATTTGCGAAATGAGCTTTTGAGTCCCTTCCACTTTTAGGAAATATGGCCAGGAATGAAGGGGTCATGGCCATTTCTCGAAAAACAAAATTTGGGGGGGGGGGGGCAGGCATGAAAAATGCTTGAACGTAATGAATACTTGGGAAAAAAAAACTGATCAACCGGAAAATACTGCATTGTGGACGTGATGTTATTTTGTACGCAGTTGATGACCCTCTGGACGCGTTCCCAGTTCATTTTGGGGGCGGATTCTTCGGGATCGTGGTCGTCGCAATCTTCATGGAAAATGGAATCATCTTCAATCCCACCAAGAACGCTGCCATGGTGAGTTTCAAATTATAAAAATGGGAAGAAAAATCGAACTTTACTCTTAATAGTGTAACGGGAACGTAACGCTTCCGGAACGGAGGTAGCTACTTCTTCCAGGTCTATCGTGTCTATATCAAGTCAATATTAAGTCTATCAAGAACATTTGAATTGAGGAGTTCGGATGGCTGATTTAGTCTTAATGTGTCGGCATGGGTTTCACCCAAAATATCCATTTCCTTGTTGTACTCGTACTTGCCAAGGAATACGTCACATTCTAGTGGGATCACGATAACAGAATACTGAGAAATGGCTCCTGTTTAATGGCTATCCAATGACACCACACGCGATAATAACAGATGTGTAATGGATGTGTAATGCCTGACAAAAAAAATTATCTGCCGGGAAGCATTATTCATCCATGCATCGTTATCAAGAGCTCCTTCTGATGATCGTAATCCACGTGGGGATCTGGAACAAGGTGCACGCCTCATATCTCCTGTGATAGCGGAAGAAAAACGAGGAAAATGAAATTCTCGCTCTAACAATCCCATCTACGCAAAGCCTCCAGGGAACTGCTTCATACGCTCCGTCAACATCCAGCTCAATCGGGAAGGATGATGAGGAGATCCATCCCCAAGATCGATGGAGTCCGACCCTCCTCGCGACTCCCGCGCTCTCACTCGCTCCCTTAAAGACCTCCGACTTCCGTTTCTCATCGCATCGAGAGCCTGCGCGTTCCTCCCTCAATCTTCAACCCTCCTTCGAAGAAGCGTCGACGGGTTTCTCTTGAACCCTCCCATGGGAAATGCGAACCATCCGTCTTGCAGTCACGCAACGGTGCCTTTCCCGTTTCCATCTTGGGCTCGAGAAAAGAATCCAACTGATGCAATTGATTTTCTATTCTTCCGAGTTTAATCGACACCCTTAATACGAATTAGATTGACTTTTTCCATTAATTTTTTTTTTATGAAACGCGACCTGGAGCAGCCAGTTAATGTCAATTGATACTTTGCTTAGGAACATTTAATTTAACCGCTAAGCCTTCGTCTCTCTCCACAATCTTTACTTTTTAAAAAACATTTTTTGTCTCTGTGGTGGTAAATTGGGACGATGAATAGGTGCTGGGGTGGAATTTAGCGGGAGCAGCCGCCATCTTCAGCTGGGCCGGCTCTCTCTGCCTCGTCCTCTTCGGAACCCTCAAGAAACTCGGATTTCTTCGCGTCTCGAGGAACATGGAGATTCGAGGTACCAGCGACTCCCCAAACCCCCATGAAAACCCGTGACGACCGGCCGCGAATTTTCATCTGATGTTTCAGGGATGGACGTGATGAAACACAACGAGCCGGCTTATCCGAGTTCGGCTTGGGAGGATTGCGATTCCAGACCCTTCGGCGTTTCCAACATGGCTACCAATATCTTCTCTATCATGTCTGCAGCTAATTTAGGTCTGACTCCTCTTCCAAACAGAAATATTTATACCATGATATTCAACGCTGCTCTCGCTATTTCCGAAATCGGTCGATACTCTTTATCATCAGGTAAATATGGAAACCATTACGAAGATTACCAGCATTATCATAAGACCTTTCATCCGAACTGTCAAGCAGAATTTTCAGGCAATACCTGAAGCCTCAAATTTTCATAAAATACCTTTAAAGAGTGTAAGCCTTTCCAACCTCCATACACTTTGTGGAGAAACAGAGGTAACTGTCGTGCTCATCCCGTAGGGTCGATGGACCGTCTGGACCGACCCTCCCGCCTGGACCGACCCTTCCCGGGCAGGCCCATGCCCCGCTGTGGGTCGTCCAGCCTGCTCCTCCGTCCCAGCCCGAGTGTGACGACCCTGTCCTCCCTCTCCTCGGGCGAGTTCCACTCGAGGGCCCTGGACTCTTGCAGCGTGGGGATCGTCCTGCCGAACATTTCTGAATCTCGGAGCTTGCGGAAAGGCGAGGACGGCGTCGCCGACACCAGCGTTTGACGGTTCTTCTCGTCCACCCCTGCTCCGAAAACAAAATTTCTTATGAGTTGACTCCTGTTGAGTGTGTCTGGAAACATCTCAGTTAATTTTTACTTTTTCTTTGATCATTGAACGAAGTTTATTTTCTCACCTTTCCTTACAAGCCAAAGGACTAAAGACAATATATTAATATATATTTCACGTTTTCTCGAAATGATTAATTTCTTATTCGAAGTGTCAAAAGTAATTCCAACCTCCTCAGGTGAACCGAGATGTCGTCCATCATTAAGCACTGTCCTGATAGCCCATGAAAAATGAATGAAAAATTATTGTCGTATTTAAAGCTTGCGTCTCTTCATTTCCCTCCCGGGGGCATGCCATGAATTCCATTACCCTCATTATTCGCCCATAGGTCCAGGCACACCATCGAATCCATCGAAAGCCGCCTTTCCCCCATCGAGGATGTATTCTTCGAGGTCGATCGAAAAGGAAACTGAAAACGGACAGACCTGAAGGAAAAAAAAAGGTAAACTGCGCCAAAGCATGAAGATTCTCATTATTTTCAATGCAGAAGTAATCGCGGAATCGCCGATCGATATTCACACTCGAACATCCAGCCATCCAGTCACCGATGCTAATGACTCTTCCGGCCTTCAGCAGCCCCGTGGATTCACGCGCCTGCAATCAATTTCGCTTTACCTGGCGCCAAAAGAACGCAGGCCTTCTAACCGAAGGCTGTTTTGTGCGAGTTGGCACCTCACCTACGGTCGATAGCCCTAAGCCAAAAATGAGCCAAGAAAATATCCCTAACAACCTAAAGCATAGAAATAACTGGAATCATGCAGGAATGGAGTTCTGAAATCTTCTAATTTCTGAAATCTCTCTCTTTCTAATGCTTGACCGACGTAGGCGATCGGGAGACCTTCATTCCCACCTTCGTTCCCATCTTTTACAGAATACAGCTCGATCTTCCCTCTAATCACCAACTGCCACACCATAACGAGCTGGGAAAATGAGCTAATATTTCCAGATTCCTCACCTTCCTTCCGTAGGTCACGCCTAATCACACTCTCCATCTTCATTACTTTCCCCCATGCCACCATCCCCCCCCCATCCCCCATGCCCCATCCCCCATGCCCCTCCCCTCATGCCCCACGACAGGGTGACTGCCCTCCCTTATGGCGCTCCAGGCCTCTAGTTACTATTTTAGCAGTTATTATTTTGGCAACTGTCGACGTGGACTGATTCTGACGGCTACATTACGACCCATCATCGCCCAATCTGCTGGAAGGTAAAATTTATCGCAAAAAATTTGGTACGCATTTCAGGACAAGAATTAGAGAAAAATGCAAACTTTTTGTTGGTTTATCGTCGGGCCATAGCCGGGGAAATTAGCTCATTTTCGGCGAATGATTGGCCGACCAGACCAACTCACATTTGTGAGTTGGTCGGTCATAGGACCGGATAAGGGGGAGGGGGCAAAGGGGGCAGTTGCCTCGGGCCTCGCAACTTCTTAATCCGGCCCTGTCGGTCAATGAAGATGGAGGGAAGATCGTTTGGAAGATTGGAAGATTGAAGGATCCGAAAACCGGCGTGAGATGGAGCCGATGTGGTCGTAGTAGGGATTTCCCGGATTCTACTGAGATGAGTCCCCTGTCCCTTTAACACGGTCCCCTATGGTTTCTGGCATAGGTAGACAATTTAATTCCTTGAAACATTTCTCTGAAGATGTAGCCTAGCCCTGGAATAACCCCGGAATTTCCACCTGGAGGTCCGTGGGATGATCCTTCTACTTTCCACGATCAGCTACGCGACCATCATACCCTACTATACGATATTGAAAAGTCTTATTATGTGTAAAATACGCCTGCCCTCGAATATTCTCAGCTCTTGGAGATGGGAGTGGACCTGGTTACGGGTCCTTATCTCTCCAAGATTCCTAATGCTGCAAATGCGGTTTATGTATATATTTTTCCTATGTCTTTTCACCATTGGGAAAAGTCATGGTATGGTATGGTATGGTTTAGTCATGTGCGGTTTCCCAACTCTGAGCCAAAGTTGGCCCACTGAAAGGACATGCCCGACCATAAGCCGGCTTAAACCTACCATATACTAGTGATAGCCCGAATAAGGCTTACATACGCGTCGACGAAACGCCATCGATGACCCGATGAAAATTGTTTGACTGGACGGCTCCACTCGGAAGCGTCCAGAAAGGACCACAATCATCATTGCATGAATGGGCCACGCTATGATGATAACGAAATTCAAGGGAATCCCGATTCCATCTCAGTCCTCAGAGGGTTTCCAGCTCGAGCGAAGGAAAAACGCGATTTTTTTTCCATCATCGATATTTAATGCTTCAGGAGGCACTATAATTTTTCTAATTTGAAGCCATGCAACAAGGTCCATGCCATAGTGTCCCCTGCCCATGCAAAACGCCCATTCCTCTCTCATTCCATTCTCTTGGACTCGTTCGCGCTAGCTGTCCTTCCCCCGCGACCCTGAGTCAATCAGATGTTCTCACGTCGCATCTGTACAGCCAAAGCAGAGCCACCCTGAAGCAGATCCTTTTCGCTCCTCGATCCCTCTCGGCCGCTCAACAAGAATTCGAAATTTCCTCTCGGCCGTCGCACGTCCAGATTTGACTTTCGAAAGAGCAAATCGCACTTGTTCGTCTCGATCCTCGGCTTTCGTTCCGCGAAGTGGGTCAACAAGCTCAGAATAACCCATTTGCCTCTGATAACTCGCTGCAGATAGCCGCCTGCAAACCAGTCAAGCGTTCTGAGGCGTTCGCTCTCCTGACCGGTGCCAAAAAGCATTAATCGAAAGTGATCATCATCATCCGAGTTCCCTTCAGGCCAGATCGGTGGAAATACCACGCGGTACATACGCGGTACAGACGTAGTACATACGTGGTGCGTACGTCGGCGAGGGTCATCGCTTCTCAAAGATGTGTAAGTGTTCCGAACCGAAGAAGAGAAGCTTTCCAACTTCTCCTGATCAAAGATTTCTAATTTCTCCTCTTTGAGGAATTTAGGTAGCAAATCTTCCTAAAAGAAGTTTCTGCATGAGTTACGGGATCAAATTCACCGACCTCACTTCTACTTTTACAAGCATTCCATCGACGATCTGTACCTCCTCACCATGTCCATCATCATCTTCTGTAGGTGACATCCCTTCCGTCCGCGGGGAGGATCGCTCGTGTCATCCTTTTTGTCTTCCTTTTCCAGTCATGCAGGCGGGATTCGCGTTCATGGAAGCTGGCGCCGTCAGATCCAAGAACGCGGTGAACATCCTCAAGAATCTCCTCGACACGTGTAAGTTTATACTTTCCCTTCTTTCTTTCGGCAAGAAAAAGGTCTCTTACAGTTCTGTCCTCTCAAAATCTGTCTCAGCCTCCCCGCTGTCGTTGTTGAAAGGTTACTGGAAAATTGATAACTTGATTACTAAAAGATAACTATAACCATGTTTGCAAAGAAAGTGGGATGATACAGACACACGTGAAAGGAAATACTCTGGATTGGGCGGTGTTTTTGCAAGTGGAAGGATGCCTTAATAAGAAAGGAACATGCACCACAAGGGTTATTGAGCTGAGAGGGATTTTACGGATTGTTGTTTCGATCTCCTGGTTCCTGCCCTTCACTCGTTTCAGGAAGCTTCCATTACCCTCCGCCCTTCTTCCAACACGCAAACAAAAGCATTTTGATTTCATTTTCCAAACTAAAGAGATACGATCGAGAAAACGACTGCAGTGGTTGAAATTGCGCATTCACTCCTATGAAAGCCGTTTGAGCAGCTAATGTACAGGGTGGCCCAAAAAAATTCCGCCCCAATTTTTAATTGCACATAACTCAAAAACTATTGAAGCCGCAGGCTCGAAAAAAAAAACAGCAAATTAAAACTTGTTCCTTCCTCTTTAAAATAGTCTATAGGTTCATTGTAATACGTGCCATGGCATGGCCGCCATGGCCATTTGAATCAACCATGACCGAAAAAAAAGTTGCAAGGTGTTGCTACTGCTACAGGCGCCTTTGATTCTGTCCTGCTGTGAAGAGGGGAAGACACAGTTCATTTTTGGCCCTGAGGAAGAAAATTGAAAAAATTGAAAGTGAAATTGAAAGTGAAAACTGACGCTCAGATAAAGCATGCACATGGCAATTTCTCGTGGAAGAGAGAGCAAACATCGTTGCTGCAGGATCCCAATGCGAAGTGAGCTAAGCTTCTCTGTTGAAAGCTTGGAGTGCTGGTCGGCTGTTCATGCACGTTTCAGCATTAAAATGATGTTGTATTAGGAAGAGATGACTGGGGAGGGTGAAAAAGTGAAGTTGGATGTGAAACCTTGAAACGATTGGAATCCAAGTGTTAAGGATGCGACGGGTGATCCATCGCGGAGTGAACGTGATTTCCTTCTGGTTCGATTCGCTGGATATTGGCCTGCATCTCATAGTACCGAACTCGCTTGCTCCCGAGAAGTAATGAAATATTTCTCACTAATTTTTTCAAATCACTTCCAAAATGATTGGGCGTATTACTTGAAAGCTGGCAGGTGATCGGACCCGCGGGAACAAGTGCCCGGGGCCTGACTTCACGAGAGGCTTCACGGAGCAATTTTCTTGTCGCTAGGACGATTTTCTTGTCGCTACTTAGTCAGGCAACCCCGTCAACGATTAAACATATGTGAGGGGTATGAAAAGCGGTTCCTCGCCTTCGATGTGTTGTCGGCGGAAAGATTCTCATCATTGTCAGCGAAATTCGGACCTGCACCTGAAATGTGAAAGAAATACCTAAAAATATTAGATTTTGGGATTTACGGGATAGACTTCGCAATTGTTAAAGAGAAACGAATACGTTTTCCCTGGTCAGATTGATCCCGCAACATTTGACTACGAGTAATGAATATTTGAGCTCTTCGTGAAGCATCGGGTACCGGAAGCGGCAGGGTAAACACGCTCACGAGATCCAGTTCCACATGGCATTCCGTGCGGCATGGCAAGCTCATTCATTAAAGATCAGTAGCTTCCTTGTAGACTCAACGACTGACGCGCGCTCTGGAGGACGTCAAAGAACATGTCTTCACCCTACTTCTCTAGGGTAGGTGACGCTGCAGGCACCAGATTACTGGAAGAACCTGCTACAGTTCCTGTAATTCTCCCAAGACAAGTCAACTGAGCTGGCTCGTGCAACATGGTGAAGGCTACCGTGATTGGTTATGAGATTATTGTATTTCACCGGGCGTTCCATAAGCACAAAACATCAATATTACTTGGGCACAGCAGAAGAGCTGTCAGGGCACTTAGTTCCCCGACCTTCACCTGTTACTTAGGAAAGGGCAATCGAATTCAATTACGTTTCTTTTCGCGAATCATAGTCCGATTGTGACCGTAAGGCAGTTTTAGATACTTCCTGATCTGATTCACTGATGGTCAAGCAGGGTTCATCTACCCGGTGGCTTCCCATTGGGCGTGGCACCCACAAGGGTGGCTGAAGAGGACGGCATTCAAGGACTACACCGAGGGAGGCGTGGTGCTCATACTGGGTGGCATGTGCACCCGCCTCGATGCTGCCCTCATGGGTCCTCGCATTTCAAGATTCCATGTGAAGACCAGCGAACCACACGACTTTCGAGGCCATTCAGTCGCAGTCTGTGCACTCTTTTTTCGCTCGCTTGGACCATCGATCATACTACATACACTGATATTTTAAAAATTATTCTACTCTTACAAAAAATGGCGAAATAGCCAACAATTACCAAAAGTTTGGTAATGGATTGAAGCGTCCCTCGTTAATGCAGCAGAACTAAGAACAATTTCTTAATTTAATATCTTTCAGAAAACATTACTAGTTATATTAGTAACTGTGAGGCACTGAGCTAAATGTTAATGCATCATACAATGTTAATGCTTAATGCATCATTCAATGGCAGAGGCTTTCAACATTGCTCGAGATTCCGAAACCATTCTCTGTTCAAATCGTCAAAGCGCCAAGGTGTCAAAGAGGATTGTTTGTACTGCTTCGAGCTGTTTGTGCGGTTGCAGATGGCAAAGTTGACTTTCGGCTCTTCCTAAGAGATAAAAACGTTGCATCAAGTTGAAAATTAAAGGGCAATGGGTTTCATTTCTTTACACGCCTCAGATTATTCTAACGGCGGGGCAGAATCCATCGTTCGACACCCCTTGCGCCTCACCTTTGATGCAAGCAGCAAGCAGTCCCGATTGCGTGATCATCCCGCATTAATTTGTTTGATTGCCTCGCAGGTGGGCGTGTGCGCGGGGAGCGACGTCTTCCCTTCATGGGCGGCCCTCGTCGTCGGCGTGGAGGCCGGATTCACGTTCCTCTGCCTTCACTTCCTCCTCCTCAGGCTCAATGGTCAGGCGTGTCAAGGCTGTCAGCTGGTTTTGGAGTCATGAACGGGAGCTGTGAAATCAGAGAAATCAATAAGTAAAATAACATTTAGGCGTTCATTTAGGACTAAAACGGAGCAACAAAAATATTAAAGTTTAACGTGCATTGTACACCATTGCTTAATGTATCCCTTTGAAATCACAAATCGAGAATGAGCCACCTTCGTTTTTCCAACTGTTGCACGGTGGCAGAGGGTGGACCACCGATGACATGATTTCGCTTTCAAATAAATGGGCACTAGTGCCCATTTATTGCCAGATATGCCACCTGGAGCTCCAGGTGGCATATTTGGCGGTCTATCACCTCAACTTGACGTGCCACTTCAGCAGGTGGTATGATCACCACAGGCAGCAATGCAGGCCTTCAATTGATGAGGTAGGCCGTCGTACAGAGCATGGCGAAAAGTCTAAAAAAAAAATTTCTGCCCTTACAAGAGCTATTATCCCAAAGTTGCAATTTGCATAGACTACTAATATGTTTCCAAGAGCCTTTTAAAAATGGATTCAAATTCAATTTTCCCCAAAAAAGGCCATGAGCCACTTTCCATTAAAAAAAATCCGAAATTGAAAATAGATTGGGGGGGGGGGGGGGGGGGCTCCCTTTCGGGGCAAA